ACCAACACAATATTTATGAACTTAAATTAAAGAAGATTTAAGTTGAAACAATGAAGACATTTTTTGTTGAAAATCAACAGTTAAAAAAGGCTTCATCTGGCTTAAAACTTATTAAAAAGACGTCACACCCGCACGTGTTGACGTGTTGTCTCTATCTTACAAACGCGTAACATGAAAAATTTACGCTCAGCAGTTCACGTTTCATTCCGTTAGCTTAAAAATTAGAGTTAATATAAACCTATTATGAAACTTGATGGTAAGAACATTATCTGTATTTGGTTGCAATTATTTTTACGATAATTCAGTTTTGAAGTGAATTATGAGCATTTTATTTTACAATTTATTATACGCGCATAACTCACTTAAAAATTGAATTATCGTGAAAATAATTGTACTAATACCATATTTATGAAAAAATATAGTATTAAGTTATTAATACTAATATTTAACGCTTTGTACTATTTAAAACCTGCTAGAAAAAACTTTGCTAAAAATTAACGTGAATTTTTGCTTAAAAATGTATCCAAGTCTTTAGTAGTTAACTGTAACTCTCTAGGTAACTTTGAAATATTGTATTAAAAAAATATGCTAAATTTGTTTTGATTGATTTTTGGTCATAAGTTTTTATTTACATGAGTGAATGTTCAAAATGCAACATACAATTGATTACATCATACAAAATACGATTACATTATATCAACTAGACATTTAATAAATTTTTTCTTCCCAATTGATTTTTAATGAATTGTGTACATTTTTTAACTAAATACATTTGATTAAAATAAATTTTTGTGTACATATTTATGCATATTTTAAGTGCATATTTGAATGAAAATCAGTACATATATATGCATGCATATTTCGTACATTTTTAGTACAATATAATATAATTCTGGGCTCTACTTCAAAATTAAAATATAATAAAAAACATTGGAGGTTGTCTAAACAATAATCTTATCTTATTTTATTATTTCATTTCACTCAAATTTTTAGACTAAACAAGCTAAACGTAATTTTCTGAGCGTAAAACTTGTTATGTTTTGCACTTGTACCTAACTTGAAAGACGGAGACAACACGTCATGCGCGGATATAAGTCCTCTTAATAAATCCACACTTATGAATGTCATCTATAATGATCATAATTTCAAAAATTAAGGATTACGTTTATTTGTGCTATTTTATTAGTTTAAAATGTTGAATAATAGTACTAATACTTCATATAATCTGGTAATTGATTCACATTGTATCATTATCGATAATAAACGACCTTAAAACATGCTATATGCAATTAAAGCATATACAGTATAATATACAGCTCAACTCAAATATTGATCATCAAACATTTTGTTTATAATTTACTCAAAGTAAATGGACTTAAGGGTTTTATTTTTGGTCGTATAACATAAGTTTAAATTGTCAAACAGTTGACAGGCTGTAATGTTAAAAAATAAAAAACATTTCAATGTTATAATTTTAATAGTTTGGGACGAGGTTACAATTAATATTTAATTTTGTTTTCGAGATCTACAAAAAAGTACATATTAATGAATATCGATTTCTAAACTAATGTATAACAGATTACCTATAGGTAAACATGCAGTATACCTATAGTAGTGCAATCGCACTTAGATTAGTCGTATTATAATATATCATATAATATATAATATATATGTCGGTTGATTGTGCGGACCGAGACAACTGACCTGCTTATATTAGATTGCGGTTTAGCATGAAATTTTATTAAAACGACCGTACCTCGTATCCACATTTTGCATCGACTTTTCTCCGGGGTATGGCATATGCACTCGAGCAAGCGATCAGCACCAGCAACGCTTTGTCGACGGAGCAATGCATATCTCACGAAATGATTACAATATACGCGAAACGACTTATTTATGCACTACTTAATAAAATAAATGATCAAAATAATAATATTAATAATAATAATTCAGTATTGCCATCGGCTACCAAGTGCTACGGGAGCAGGACGAGTGCGAAATCGACAACCGTTGCATTAACTGAAGTCGGCTGTTGTAGTAGTTGCCGACTGATACGGAGACCGGTGGTTTTGACCGTTATTATAGTGTACCATCCTACCAGTTTTCTTTACTCCTCCTGAGAACAAATTATATCGTGTGTGCGTGTGCGGAAGCCGATTATGACGTTATCTCGGTCACAATAACCTTTGAACAGCGATCAGGTGTTCAAAACAAAAATATTGAAAAAATAGAACACGAGCCAACGTTTATCCATTACGATTTTTGTCGGTTTGATTGTAATATTGCAATAGTTAATGAAGCGTATTGTTGGAGACTATCCATATGATATTATTACCTAAAATTGTTTGGCGCATAATACTTCGATGTTCTTATAATATACAGCACCAAGGTCATTTTTTATCATTATCATCAATATTTGTTATTTCGTTTGGGTATAACGACGAATGTTTGAGTAAATGTGATATTATGAATCTATAGGTATGCGTTATGATTGATTTGAAAAAATATTAATAATATTTGAAATTAAATCATTATTTTAATAATATTTAACACCATGATCATTAACACCGCGTATTATACTATTCGTCTGTACTGTTAATAATATGTACGCCGAATAACAATGTTGTATATAATTACTAGGTACCTACCTAGTCGGAAGCAAATTATTTAAATGACGTTTAATTTTTTTCACAATATTCGTTGTTTAATATTTAGGCAAAACCAGGGGGGGAATACGGTCTAGTTTTTCCGTGTGCATTAAATGTGAAATACGAATGTGACTTTTACCTACATATTCTATAGCTGCAGATACTACGTTTGAACGGGAATACGTTTTTGAATATTGGCAATAAATTAACACCTATTTTTTTGTTCACAGTTTTCACATTCAATATTTCACAAAAACATTTGAATGCCTATTTTTAAAAAGCTAAAATCTTTTATTTTGCTTTTATTCAAATTTCTATTTGTCTCGAAATCCTTATACATAATTTAAGTATATTGTTCCAAAATATTAAGTAAATAAATAACTGTTTTTAGTACATTTTACGTTTTAAGACGCTGTTTCTTTTAATGGACCTAAATACATACATATTTAAATAGATCTTAACAAGTATTTATGCATTGAATTGTATTTTTTGTGTACAATACTTTGAATTTAAAAATGTTTGCTAAAGTTTACACTTTAAGATTTTCTCATGTCTATAAATTGACGTATAGTTACACAAACATAAAATAAGTATAGGTACGACTTATAATTTCCTATGGGTCCATGTTTTCAGTTTTTCTATTTGGCGTATATTTACATAATGTATATGTTTTAAAACGTGAATGATTATAATTTATAAGCCACAAAGAAGATCTATTATTTTTTAAACGCCTTCGATAGATGGTATCACAGAAAAATATCATTATTCTGAAATAATAATAAAGCAGGGAACGGAAAAAAAATATTCGATTCATTGAACGATCGCGGTAGAAGCCAAGCGGATTTGATTGTTCAAAGGGTACTAGCTTTTATACGTTTCAGACTGAAAGGCGGAAAGCTATATTTGTGACTAATTTAGTTTTAATTTCAAATGTCAGAGTACTTTCTGGAGTCTTCTCGCCGTCGTATAGTTTTAAGCTTACGCAGACTACTGTATACCTATGTTCTATACATATATATATATATATATATATATATATATGTTTAATTATATGCACTCAATTCAGGAAGAATTCCTAACCGTGGGACTTTAAACAATACGCGTATAATATTCAACTCGCTCTTCCGACTAAACAAACATTTTTTTTCATCTGGATTTTCAGACAAAAAGATCGTTTACGACAATCAAATCGATCGCTACGGATCAACACTTACCTAACTCTAAAGAGTTCAAACTGGTATTGAAGGCACGTTAAATATTTATCTAAAAAACTTATCCAACTTAAAGTAATTATCAGAGCCCAATTTAGGAATTTTGGGGCCCCATTAAAAAATTTGACCCGGGCCCCAAAATTTATTATTATCTAAATTTTAAATAATCAACTTAAATTATAAATGTAGGTAGTCTTTATGCTATATAGATTTGTTATATTCAATTTATTTAAGATTATAAAGCAATAATTATACCATAATAATAATATATTCTTAACTTTAAAACTGATGATCGACATATATTTATTTATTCGCATTTTTTTATACTAGAACATGATGTTTATACAATATAATGTATCTACATTTTTATTGCGATTGACCTATAGTCCTATAAATATCGGCTGATTGGTGACGCTTTCTTAATTCCTCATTTTGATTTTGTAAAAGTGTTTTAACAATTCAGAAAAAAAGCTGACCAGAATTTTGGTTTTGGTTATTTTCGATTGAATATTTGTAAAAAATTTGGAACGGTCGCGACGTTTAGACGCTGTTTGTAAAACCGTTTTGACGCGGCGTTCAAATGCCGCGTTTAGCGTCGACTTACCGCAAGGTCCAGACGATGTAAGGAAAACGTACTTACGTACCTTAATTATTTAATTACAATTAATAAAAATAAAACGATGAAATTAAAAATATGAATATAAATAAAGAAGTATCGGTACATAAATTGTAATCATAACGATATAAAGTGCTTTTGACCAACTTTATCTTAAAACTTATCAGCTTATTTTATCGATTAGAGAATAATTATAAATTCCATTACGATACCTACGTGACTAATGAAACTACGTAACCAGTAAAATCATACAATTATTTCAAAATGCCACTCTAATAATTAAATATCAACAAAGGCTCGGGGCCCCAAATATAATATCGAGGCCTGGGGCTGCAGCCCCTCCCTACCCCCCTAAGTTGGGCTCTGGCCATTATAGTGGAATCAGATAACAATAACCTACGGTATCAATCTTATTATTTTATTTAAATTTTATACGCCTTGTGATAATGTTGCTAACTAGAGTCAATTTCGTTTTGATTCACAAAAATCGAATAATTTTTTGTTGATACAAAATATACCACAAAATAATTAGTCCCCATATCATTTTTTATTCATATAGAATACTGCATAACAATAACTTAAAGAATTTTTGTATTTTGTTTTTTTAATTGGTGACGTGGGAAGTAGGGGTAATTTTTCTGAGAACAAAAATTATAGTTGAAAAAATATAATATAATGTAATTAATATTAATATTAAATAATATCATGATGATGGTGGCTGGGTTTCATTCTTCGGGTATTTCGTAATCGACTAACCTACACGAATCATCCAACATCTTTTTGGGTATGGTGCACGTCGATATCTTTAAATTAGCGACGTCTTCTTGTGTGGCGCATAAGTAACAATAGGCGCTGCAGGTGCAAATTTCACTGATTCCATGGCATCCTTTTTCACATAGATTATAGGTGTAGAACAAACCGTGTCCATCTTCGTTCTTTGTACACGTGACACACCGGAAATTCGATGAGTGAGCCTGTTTGATGCACGGTCCATGATTAGTTGTGTGGCACTCCGATTCCAAGCATTCTTTACATGAGTTAAAAATAATATCTTCGTCGGAGTACACGTAGTTGAAGTTCAAAAGTATGGTGAAAACGAACACGGGCACGACGGTGTAGGACAGAAACATTTCTGCTTTGCTGTTGTTGTTTTTTCGGAGGAAATCGAGTCTGGTACCTAATATGCGGTACTGCGATGTCTGTTAYTTCGGAATCTGTTCCTCAACGACGACGAAGTTGATCCGGTCAATGTTTGCGCGTTAATAGTTGATGGCCTGACACTACAGTTCCGATCGGTTAAGTTTCGTTTTTATAGCCTAACGGCTGTCGGGTTTGCGATCGTGGCGTCGTTAAATTGGTCGGGTCTCATCGTGGTAGGGTTGTGTGATGGGCGGTCGAATCAACATGACAAAATTATTTTGTTTGACTTCCGTCGTACAGTGTGTCACAAAAGTCCCGTTACGCTGTAATTATCTCTGTGTCCAATCCTCCGCGTGATTACTATACGTTCTGTGGATGTGAGTATGTGACATTGTTCAACAGCAATTCATTCTAGAAATGTGCGACATAAAGTTTCAATTTCTTAATTGTTGTAGTTGTGATAAAACCATCACTCTAAATAGATTGATGTGCCCATCTCACAGACTTGTACTTAAGGTGGTTCGAGACATTTAAGACGTAATATATTATATTAAAAAGAACATAAAAGATTTAATTTTAATTTTGTACAATTATTATGATAAAATATGTAATAAAAATAAAATAAAATATACAGTGAGTTTATTATAATGTTTTTTGAACTATCATTATGTGAAAGAAAAGAATCTTATAATCTTTTAAAATAGATTAAACAAAGTTGCTTTTTAAGTATAAGCTAAATCACTATTGTTAGTTTTACCATAGATTAAATATACTAGTATATTTAATCTATAGTTTTACTGTATACATATAAGTCCATACTATTTTTACGTCAATGACAAAGTCACTAGTTTAAGTCAATTGAAACTAGCCAAACAAGGAGTGTAATATATGACACATCATCTAGCCTTTTCACTACTTTTGTTTTAATAAACTATTAGCCATGAACTTTTTATGTTTATTTTAAAAATATGATGCAAGAATATGCTAAATAAAGAAATGATGATTCATATCAGATTTGTATATGAGAAATAAAAAAAATGTATCGTATACGTTCATTATATATAGGGTGTAACAGAAAGACCTGACCAAAAAAAATATGCTAATTCATTGTATGATAAAAATTTTTGATATCATATGATAAGTAAATAATTTTTAGAAATTTACTCATGTCAGAAAATTATTAAAAATCATTATTTTTAAAAAAGTTATTGCGTTCCAAACTATAATTTAACCAAAAAAATGTTGAATTTCAAAAAAATTCCTAAAAATAAAATTCTTGACTTAGATAAATCTTTTTACGGGTAACTTCATGAAAAAAAAAAAAATAAAAAATATTAATTCAATTTGAACAAAAGTTATTCGAAAAGTCATCTGTTCTATCTGTTACATCTTGTATATATACCAACATATTATTTATTATCCTGCAGGGTTAATATTCCGGATGTCGATTACACAACAAAACCCAAAAATGAGAAATAGTTGTTATTGAGATTCTGATTTTCAGTATAACGAATCCATTATATTCTTAGAATTGTACTCGTGACATTAACAATGGGCTATATTTCATTTTCGAACCGAATTAACGTTAGGATTATTCAAGAGTCATATAATGATGTTCTTATAAATAAATTTTAAAAAAAAAATTCGATTTTATTGTACCAAGTTTTTATTTTAATGATTAAAATATTAATAGTGACATTTTTATATTATTATTCACTACACCGTATATAGTGATAAGTGAATAATATTATATCATCATGATTTATTTAAGTACCTGCTCTGTACGTAAGAAAAGTAAATACTCCAACTAAGTAGCTACTCCAAACAAACTTATAACGAAAGACTTGTTATTTTTTAGAGAGGAATTTAAGTATTGATTAAGTATTAATTTCAAAGTGTGAAATTTCCATTTATATATTGTCTTAGTATAAATAAAACGTAAATTGTTGGATTTAAGTAAACAGTGACTAATAACTATTTAAAATAAATGTTTTTATCGAAACCTTCGCACACTTGCACAGGATGTAGGATTCAATTATAACTTATTTTTAGTGAACGATATTGTGATCTTCGCATGGTTTTAAGACGTACTAATTTAAATAGACAAACGTATTACGCTTCATGATTTAACGAGTTAAGAGATATTTTATTGTGTTACAATTTAGCACAGTCCCGTATTAAATATGATTTTTAGTATCTCGTCCGTAAATGATAAAAAATCAGCACCTAATTTGTTAATGTTTTAAGGCTGTAATCAATGGTGTACGTAAATGAAAACAATCAATACCTATAGTTAATGATACGTCAATTACAACAAGTTTAGAAATAATAAATAAATTGGTTATATTATACTTTTCAGGGAAAAAATAATATATCATTGTAATAATCATTTTGTTCAAATTATTAATTATACGATAGTGTCTTTATTACATGGACGTGAATATATTGTGTAATTGACTTTGCCAACGAGCAAAATATGATCATACATAAAATAAAATAATAAGTCATTATTTTAGAGTAATTAGGTTTTAGTGTACATCGTCTGTGATCAGTTCACGGAGAAATCAGCATTGGTGTACCCAATTATTATTTTAACAGAGATGGCCAATTCGCCTGTGGAAGATTGAAAGAGCACTTCGCATATTTTTTAATGTGGTTGAAACCGCTCTTTAAACTTTCTTGATATATTTAAGGAAAATTTCTGAAACTTTCTTAAAAATCAGTTGAGTAGTTTTTGTGGCTATAAGCTACGAACACAAGGACATTGCTTATTGTTGTACATTTTAATAACAAAATATTAATTTAATATTATCTTATTTTATGCATACCATTTTTTTAAATCATATTATTTATGTAACCAATGTAAATGGTGGTATATTTTGTATCAACAAAAAATTATTCGATTTTTGTGAGTCAAAACGAAATTGATTCTAGTTAGCAACATTATTACAAGGTGTATAAAATATAAATAAAATAATAAGATTGATACCGTAGGTTATTGTTATCTAATTCCACTATAATGGCCAGAGCCCAACTTAGGGGGGTAGGCTGGGGCCCCGAGCCTCTGTTGATATTTAATTATTAAAGTGACATTTTGAAATAATTGTATGATATTACTGGTTACGTAGTTTCGTTAGTCACGTAGGTATCGTAATGGAACTTATAATTATTCTCTAATCGATGAAATAAGCTAATAAGTTCTAAGATAAAGTTGGTCAAAAGCACTTTATATCGTTATGATTACATTTTATGTACCGACACTTCTTTATTTATATTCATATTTTTAATTTCATCGTTTTATTTTTATTAATTGTTATTAAAAAATAATTTTTTTTTTTTTGTTTTTCTCGGTTTTTTTGAAAACTGTTGGTAAATATTTACTTTTTATCTCTATAATGCACCAAGAATATTCACTTTTACATCGGAAACCACCCCCAAAGTTTGAAATTGAAGCATTATTTCGACTAGTTATGCTGTACACAAACATAAAAAAAAGGCGGGTAAGCCGTGGATGTCGCTCTGCTGTACCTAATGTAGATAACAAGTGGGTTACTGTAATGGATGGAATTAAATTTGAATCCAATGATATTATATCATTGTATACGAAAAACGATTCTGAGCGAAGACGGCTTATCTATCTAGAATATATTATAGATTATTAAAAATTTTCAAATCTTAGATTTAAAAAGAAAAATTTTTATGAATTTYTRGTTTAAAATAATTTGCGAATTTTCGTGATTTTCGTGATTTTTACACATGTTGTCAAAATTCAAACTTTGAATGCTTGTAAAAAAAAATTATGCTAATATATTTCTTTTTATTTTTCACCTGCTATTGTAAAAATATGTTAGAAGCCTTATATAAAATTTTAAATTCTAAGTTATAAAAGGAAAATTTTTAATGAATTTCTAGCATAAAATAATTTATTATTTTTTGTGATTTTTAAGTATGTTGTCTAAAATTCAAACTTCGAATGCTTGTAAAAAAAATTGTGACAAAGCATTTCTTTTATTTTTCAACTGCTTTTGTAAAGATATGATAGGAGCCATGTATTAAATTTTCAAATCTTAGATATAAAAGGAAATTTTTTTATGAATTTCTAGCTTAAAATAATTAGTGAATTTTCGTGATTTTTACATAATATGTTGTCAAAACTCAAACTTTGAATACTTAATAAAAAAATTCATGTATTTCTTTTATTTTGCAATTGCTATTGTAAAAATATGTTAGGCGCCCTGTTTTAAATTTTCAAATCTTAAAATTAAAAAGAAAAACTTTTATGAACTTCTATCTAAGATAATTTGAACATTGCCGTAATTTTTACGTATTTAGTCAAAATTTGAACTTTAAATGCTTATTAAAAAAAATTGTGCCTATGTATTTTTTATATCTTTTAACTGCTATTGTTACAATGTGCTAGAAGCCTTGTATTAAATTTTCAAGCTTTACTAGGACGATGGTTCTGAGAATGTGAGATCCATTTCCTATTCCATAGTTTCATTTCTGTTTGTAATAAATCCATATCTATATAGTCAGAATATAAATCAAAATCTGTAGCTGATATTGTAGCTTTATGAGTTTATGACACATTTTTTATATAGATAAATATAAAGAAGACAAAACTGTTTTGTGTTTTGAAAATTTATCTTTTAGTTTTTGAATAAAATTTGTAATAAAATACGGACATATTCTTTTGTAGAGTTAACATTAATGATATTTCTATTTTTTTGACGTCCAACTAGTCATGGAATTTTTATCTGATCCTCTCCATCTATCAACTTTAATTTTAACAAATATTTCTTTAAATGTTTTGTTTATATTGATTCGCATGTCTAAAACTTCATTCATAACAGTTTTGACAAATTTCACCGCTTCGCTTAAATCATATGTTACTGATTGTAATGATTTACATAAAGGTAATGTTAATGAAAATAGTGTGTAAGCTGTCACTAAACTAATAACAAATTCACTATAAATGTTATGCTACGATATATAGGTTTAGTGCTTTTGATGATGTTTCAATATCATGAAATAATTGGAATCCATCTAATGTGTCAACAATAGGTTTATATATATCTAAAAATCGAATCATTCCATCGTGGTTTTCGACCCACCGAGTTTCATACATAGATGTTAATTTATAGTCCATTTT